GCCTGCAGAGTCAGCTGGAAGGAGCGCAGCTGCTCGTGGTCGAAGGCGCGCTGAGCGAACACCACTCCGCTGTCCTGGTTCACCGACACGTAGGAGGACAGCGCCTTTGGTTCTAGGTCGCTGGCTATGATGGAGTAGGAGACGAGGCCATTTAGTCCAAGATCTGGATCCCGTGCTTTGACTTGGGCTATGGAGGTACCGGGCTGGTTGTTTTCTGGTACGTTTACCAGATAGGCGGGCTGTTGGAAGACAGGTGCGTTGTCGTTGACGTCAGCAACGTGTAGAGTTATGATTATGCTGGAGGAAAGGGGTGGCTTGCCTCTATCTGTGGCTATGATGGTGATGTTGTACCCCGGGGTCTGTTCCCGGTCTAGGATGCTATCTGTCACTAACTTGTAGTAATTATTGGAAGAAGAATGAATCTTAAACGGACTGTCTCCACTTAAACTGCACGTGACTTGTGCGTTTTCCCCGGAGTCTCGATCCCTTACTTTGAAGAGGGCCACAACCGTTCCAGAAGGGGAATCCTCCAATATCTGATCAGAGAGGGAAGTGATGATTATTTCTGGGTGGTTGTCGTTCTCATCTAGAACTTCTATAATTACTTTACACTGAGAAGAAAGAGATCCTCTGTCCTTTACCTCTACATCAATCGTGTATTTTTCTACTTCTTCAAAATCCAAGGGCTGGTGAGTTACGATGTCTCCAGTTAGGGAATCGAGCGAGAACACGTGCTGAGCTTCGTTAGCCACACCCAGGAAGGAGTATGTGAACTCCGCATTGATGCCTTCGTCCTGATCTGTCGCTCTTAGCCTTAGGACGGCCGTGCCTGGAGGCACATCTTCCCGAAGGCGGACTCTGTACACATCTTGGCTGAACACTGGGGGGTTATCGTTGGCATCTACCACTCGGATTCGGAGCTGAGCAGTACCACTTCGGGGCGGGTCCCCACCATCTACAGCAGTCAGCACCAGGTGGTGGGTGTTCTCGGTTTCTCGGTCCAGCGTCTTTTGCAGTTCTAATTCTGGGTATTTGCCACCATCAGGATTGTCTTTCACCAACAATGAGAAATACTCGTTAGGACTTAGGTGATACTTGCTCAGTGAATTCACACCAATATCAGGATCTTTCGCAGACTCCAGAATTGTTCTCATCCCTGGGTTGATGGATTCGCTTATTTCTAGGTTTATTTCATCTTTTGGGAATCGAGGAGCGTGGTCGTTAACATCCTCAATCTCCACAACGACATGAAAAATATTCAGGGGGTTTTCCAGCACTGCTTCCAACTGCAACTCACACTTTCTTCTCTCTTTGCATATCTGCTCGCGGTCTATGCGGTCCTTCACCAGTAAATCCCCGCTCTCCGCGTCCACACTGAAGTGCAGCTTCTCAGCGCTAACCCGCAGCTTCCTTGCAGAGACTTCCAGGACACTGAGCCCCAGATCCTTGGCGAGGTTCCCCACCACAGAGCCGCGGTCCAGCTCCTCCGGGATGGAGTAGCGGACCGGTTGGCCCAGCGCGGGACAGAACAAAGGCAGCAGCAGCAGCAGGGTAAACAGTACCTGCGGGCGGCCGGGGCGCTGCCTCTGCGCGCAGCTCCCTCCCATTGCTGGCTCGGGTTCTCTCTAGGTCTTCGGGTCTTCACAGTAGGATAGAGTGCGGTCTTCCGAGGCGGAGGTGCATCTGGCCCCTTACAGCTGGACCCCAGTTTGGGTCTGGGAATCTGTGTCTTAGTCTCTTTGAGCGCGAGTTCCCTTTGGAGTGTATTCGTTTCTGCGCAGGAAATTCCAGCCTAGAGACTGAGGGATGCCGGGCGTTGGAGCCTGCTCTGCACTGGCCGACAGCGGCGCCCAGAGGCTCTGAGTGGAATTGCAGTCTGGCGTTTCATATTTTGAGGAATCTTTTATTTTATATTAAGCGCAAGTTGATAAGCTAAAATATTTGAATTTTGTTTCTTATTGACTTTGTTTCCATCGTGGAAATTTTAATATTAAATATTATATTTAATTCGTAAAAATATAGTAATTTTGGGTAGATTGAAAGACTGTTTTGTTCTAATAAAAAGGCATGAAAGAAAGTAAAGGGAAGGTACACAGATCCAGCCCATGGCCCACTGTTACCCAGATCACCCATCCACAGGAAATGATTATCACTCCTTTTGAGGAAAATTATCTTTTGTCATCAACTCTAGCTTTAGTCAGTTAAAAAGTAAAAACCCTTTCATCCATATTTAGACTGCAACCCTGGCTGTATTCAGTCATTCAGTATGGTCAGTCTTGCTCTAAGAATTTTTTAAAAATTTATTTTCATTTTATGTGCATTGGTGTTTTTGCCATGGGTGTCGGGTCCCCTGGAACTGGAGTCACAGACAGCCTGAGCTGCCATGTGGGTGCTAGGAGTTGAACCCGGGTCCTCTGGAAGAGCAGTCAGTGCTCCCAACCACTGAGCCTTCCCTCTATCCCTAAAAATTTTAATAGACTATTTACAACGTCAAAAGAGTGCTGTTGAAGCTTGCTTTTTTCAAATAATGGGACTGAAATATATACATAATAATTATTACTCTTGTGGGGGAAAGATGTGGAACAATAGTTTCAATGAGTAAATTGTATTATAACTCCAGAATGTGTACTTACCTTCCATGAATCTACAGTTAACCAAGTGTTGACACAAAAATGTCAGGGTCTCAGATGTATTGTGAGACTTGGTAGAACACTCCTTTTTCTAGTAACTTCTGTAGAGTAATAATAAATCCAAATCGAACCAAGTACATCACCGTTTTCTTGAACTAAATGTGCTCACCAGTACCTCCACCAATCATTGACTTAGAAGGGTTTCATGCCCATTTTTGCTTAAATTCTGACCCCCCCCCCCGCAGAACTTCCTTTTCTTCCTTTGCTCTTGGCTCTTAGTTTATTTCAAAGTTCAGTCCCAGTGCTTTTGCGTTTCCTCTGAGTTTTCTTCTACATTAAAGAGAAATACCCTTATCACACTTTTAGCTTCTGTTCTTGGGAACACAGACATTACCCACCCCAATCCATATTTACCTGTTAGCCTTAATTACTGACATGTTTAATTTTGAAGAGAAAAAAGGACAGAGAATCCAAAATCTCAATTTAACCGTATAAATTCTTAGAATCTTCATTGGGCAAGGAAAGTCAAATTAAAAGCCTGTATCTCTCATATAGTAAGAGGTTACACAATTATATGCAAAAGGAAAGCCATATAGGTATGATTTTGCTTATAAAGATTCTAAGCACGTAGTTATGAATTGTTGATTGAATATCAATGAATAACTTAAAATCTCTAAGGAGTATATAATGTATTGTTTGAGAAATATAACTGCAAAAACATACTGACTTTGTCCTCAAAGAACTACAGTGAACAGCCTTGGATGTGGCTTGTGTATCTGGTGGGGCTAATGCATTTGTTTCTGACGTTTACCTAATTTTGACACACTTGCCTTCAAAAGAGCTGTCTAAAGCGGTAGGGTCGCAGCGCAACCAACAGACACTTCCATAGGAAGTTCCCTTTTAGGAACCGCCAATGTTGTACTCAGAGCAACACAAGGTTCTGCATAGCTATTCATAACAACCTTATGGCAATCTGGGTGATTTTCATGACAGTTTGCAAACAGTCTTAACCACCAGATTCTACTCTTTAATGTTTTAGCGAGACGCAAGTGTCGCCGGAACCGAGAGCGGTGGTTTAAAAGTAGAGATCTAATATTTCCACCACCTGGATTCAAGCCTAAATGTAGATCTGACCATAATTGTTTAAAGAAAAGGTAAAATCAGCACTCACTGGCACCAGAGGGGCATCTTCTACAGGGCACTTCGAATCATCTAACAGAGACAAAGGATCTTTTTTCTCGCAGCTCTCCTGGCTGATGAGCGTGTCTGCATAGTTGGGCTGCGGGAAGATCAGGTGACTCTTGCGCGAATCAGCAGTTAGGGAAACCTCGTGGGAATAGGTCTGCAAGAAAGCGCGCACCCCGTCCACGCCCACATACTGAGAAGCAGGCAGGCCACCCAATCCATCTCTCGAAGACTGAAGCACGTGAGACTTGTGCCAGCGCCGAAGTTTGAGAGCCAACAGCACAATGACAAAGGCGAGAAAAACACAGGAGACCGCCGCCACTGCCACGACTAGGTAGAGGGTGAGGCTTGAGGCTTCAGAGTCCTGCGGTGGCTCCAGGTTGCCCAAGTCTGCCAGAACATCAGGGATGCTGTCGGCTACTGCAACAGTCAAAGTGACCGTGGCGGAGAGAGGGGGCTGGCCGTGGTCCTGCACAGCTACCACCAGACTCTGCTTGAGGGCATCTCTGTCCAGCAGGGCCCGCGCGGTGCGTACTTCACCTGTGTGCAGCCCCACCGAGAAGAGCCCAGGTTCGCTGGCCTTGAGCAGGCGGTAGGACAGCCAGGCGTTCTGTCCCGAGTCTCTGTCCACCGCCACCACCTTGGTCACCAGATAGCCCAGCTCTGCTGAGCGGGGAGCAAGCTCCACACCGGTAGAGCCATCGGTGGGTGGAGCGGGGTACAAGATTTCCGGGGAGTTGTCATTCTGATCCAGCACGAACAGGGTCAATGACACATTACTGCTGAGGGGAGGCTTCCCGCTGTCGCTGGCAGTCACCTGCACCCGCAGTTCTCGGAACTGCTCATAGTCAAAGGACCAGAGCGCATACAGGATGCCAGTGTCTGAGTTGATGGATATGTAGGAAGAAAGGGGTGCCCCCTCAATGGTGTCTTCAGCCAGAGAGTAAACGATCTGGGCGTTCTCTTTGCTATCCGGATCCAGGGCGGTCACCGAGAAGATGGAGGCGCCCCTGGGGTTGTTCTCTGGGATATAGGTAAAGTAGGAGGCCTGAGAGAAGGTGGGTGGGTTGTCGTTGATGTCCGCCACGTGCAGAGTGAAGTGAGCCTTGGTCGACAAAGGCGGGTTCCCCCCATCCGCGGCTGTAACTGTGATGTTGTAAGAGGACACCTGCTCCCTGTCAAGGGCTCTTTCTGTCACTAGTCTATAGTAACTGTCAATGGACTTTTCTAATTTAAACGGCAGATTCCCTGAGAGGGAACAGGTTACCTCTCCGTTCTGCCCAGAGTCTAAATCATGCACGTTCAAAAGGGCTATGACAGTTCCCACAGGCGAGTCTTCAGCCACTGGACTAAAGAGAGAGGTGATGGTCACCTCCGGAGTGTTGTCGTTTACGTCTTCTACTGTAACCAACACTTTGGCAGTTGCAAGATAGGCCCCTCCATCTTCAGCTTGGATTTCTATTTTATAGAAACTCATTTCTTCGTAATCTAGATTTTCAGATATTTTTATCTCCCCAGTACTTTTGTCCAGCTGGAATTTCAACAGTTGTGTGTCCTGTAATTTTCGGAAGGAGTATGTCACTTCTCCATTGGCGCCTTCGTCCTTGTCGGTGGCAGTCACTTTTAGCAGCGGCGTGCCCACAGGCAAGTTCTCTGGAATATTCACTCGGTATTCAGGCGAGGTGAAGATTGGAGCATTGTCATTTGTATCAAAGACAGTCACAGTGATGAGGACCGTGCCGGATCTGGGAGGGTTACCACCGTCAGAGGCCACGAGGACCAGGTGGTGAATGGCCTCTTCCTCACGATCTAGGGCGTGCTCCAGCACGAGCTCTGGATACTTGACGCCGTTAGCACCGCTCTGAAGGCCTAGGGAGAAGTGCTTATTGGGGCTGAGCTGGTAGCTCTGCAGAGAGTTCACGCCCACATCCGGATCAATAGCTTCCGGGAGAGGAAAACGCATCCCTGATGCGACATTTTCATTAATTTTTACATCTAGAGTTTCTGCTTGGAATTTTGGCGTATTGTCATTGACATCCGTTACCTCTATCTCTATCCCGAAAAGTTTCACCCTGTCTTCCACAAGGATGTTAAAGCTGAGGAGACAGGGCGCGCTCTGGGCGCACAGCTCCTCCCGGTCTATCCTGCCTGCGGTGACCAAGCTGCCGCTTCGCGGGTTCAGAGAGAAAAGCTGCGACCTACCTCTGGAGACGATGCGGACCCCGCGCTCCGCCAGCTCGCGGGGCTCCAGCCCCAGGTCCTTGGAGATGTTGCCCACAAAAGAGCCTTTCTCTAGTTCTTCAGGAACGGAGTAGCGGATCTGCCGAGCTGCGGACTCCCAGGGCATCCACAGGAAAAGGAGGACCAGTTTGGTGCGCTCTAAGAGATTCCTTTGTGCGGCCATTGTCTCCTGACCACGGAATTTTCTCAAAGCTCTCTCCCATCAGCCGGGCGCGCTGTGTGTGTTTTACCCGGTTCTTTTCTTCTTTCTGTGGCCTCAGGAGTCTCAGATGGAGCACCTTAAATTCCTGGGTGATTTTCGTTGCAGCCCAGGAGCCGTTTTGCGGGAACTGAGAGGCTTTAAGCCTTTGGACCCTGAGAATCCCGACTGAGCTCTGGCGGCGTTTTGCTCTTCGTAGGTGAATAGCGGCGCTCAGAGTCTGAAGAAGTTACTGCACCCACTACAGAATCTCAGCAAATGCATCTGTTGAGTTGTTTTATTTTATATTGATCTTTGATTTCTCTGTTCATTCTTTTTAAAGGGTGTGAGATTGAAATCAGGGCTTTCATACATGCTAGACAAGTTCTCCATCACTGAACTAGATCCGAGCCCTTCTCAACTCGTAGGTTACTGGGGGAGTGTATAAGTTAAATTGATAATATTTACAACTTATTTCCAACAGGAACACACTTACTTAAAACACAAATAATGTTTAATTTTGTGTTGAAAGAATCTCACAACTTTTATATTCATCCACATGAAGACAATTATACTCCTTTTGATAAAATTCACTTTGAAAGATTTTTATTTTCTTTAATTTGATTATGTTGTTTAGTTTATAATCCTGTAAGAGGCTGACAAGATAGTCTATTGTTACTTAATGATTTTTAAAAATGTACTTT